TTGTATTTCTAAATCCCGTCACCTTTTTCACCCCCTCTCTAACCTCCCTCCCATCTGGCATCCATCAAAATATTCTTGTATCTATGAGTCTGTTTTTGTATGGCTTATTTATTTTGTTTTTTAGATTCTACATGTAAATGAAATCATCTGACATTTGTATTTCTCTGACTTCTTTCAGTTAGCATAATACCCTCTATGTCCATCCATGTTGTTGCAGATGGCAAAATTTCATTTTTAAAAATGGCTGAATTATATTCAATTGTATATATGCACCACTTCTTCTTTACCTACTCATATATTGATGGGCACTTAGGTCGCTTCCATATCTTAGCTATTGTCAATAATGATGTCTTCGCCCTGAGTGGGTGGCTTGGTTGGTTGGAGCGTTGCCCGGTGCACCAAAAGGTTGTGGGTTCGATTCCAGGTCAGGGCACATACCTAGGTTGCAGGTTTGATCCCCAGTCACCCAGGAGGCAACTGATCGATGCTCCTCTCTCTCTCCCCCCCTCCCTTCCTCTCTCAGAGATCATAGTGACCTAGATTACACTTTGAAGAAGAAAAAAAAATGTTTTCGTTTCCTTTGTCTTTTTAACAGCTGGGAACTACTTCCCTAGATAGATTTCTTTCTTTTTTTTAAGATAGATTATTTAACCAGTTCTCTGCTAACCGGCATTTAGGCTGTTTCTGGTCTTTTATAAATAAACGATGCTGCATGGAAGGTGCCAGCACATGTGAGGGTACAGAACAGCTCCTGCCCCTCCACCCAGATTCTCATGCCAACCCCCAGCTTTCTGGCCAATCCTTCCCCCTCCCCCGGCAAGCAAGAATGTGCTCCCTGTCCATGCGGTTGTCCTTTCCCCAGAATAAATCTCCCCATTTAAACATCTGCACAAGCAATTGCAGCGGTCTCACAGCGCTGCCAGGGGGGTCCTGAGACGCACCAGCAGGCATGCCCGCTTCCTGCTCTAAACTCAGGCCAGTGTCTAGGGAACCTCTGCTGAGAAAAGACAAGATTTGTGTCCACTTCCTGTCTCTCTTCTTCTGTCTGCCTTGCTTCCTCTTTTTTTTTAAAGATTTTTAAATTTATTTTTAGAGCGAGAAGGAGAGAGAAACATTGATGTGATGAGATAGCGAACCCACAACCGGGCATATGTACCCTGACAGGAATGGAACCAGCAGCCCTTTGGTGCACCGGACGCTGCCCAGTCAACTGAGCCACGACGGCCAAGACTGCTTCCTTTTCCTGTTACCTTTGTGCATTAAATATATAGATATATTTTACTGATTTCAGACAGGAAGGGAGAAGGAAGAGAGAAATAGAAACATCAATGATGAGAATCACTGACCAGCTGCCTCCTGCACGCCCCCGACTGGGGATTGAGCCCACAACCTAGGCACGTGCCCTGATTGGGAATCCAACTGTGACCTCCTGGTTGATGGGTGGACACCCGATCACTGAACCACACCAGCCGGGCTCTTGTTAGTGGTGAAGCCTTAAAGGAAACGTGTTTCCTGGAGGAAAGGCCTTGACCCCGTTCTCACAAATAGCCTGTGAATAGAAGATGTGGGTTTCGGCTTCTTGTGGAAATAAAGGTGCCGGGCGGAAATCCTAGAAGTTCTTTGGGTTAAGGGGGAGTCCGTAGCACACAGGAACTAGATTAGACACCTTGAGGATCTGAGAGAAAAAACTGGAAGGACTCGGGGGTGGGTGAGGGTGCTTGGGAAAGATGAGGATTGGGGGTGTGTAGGGGAGGGGGATCGGAGAGTGGGCTGGGTATAAAGGTGGAGAGGTCTGGGGGGTGAAACTGGGAATACCTGGGAGGAGGAGGGTAGAAAGGATGGGGGGAAGGGCAGAGCCACACCTGGGGTGGGTGTCTCTGGAGGTGGCAGACCTCTGGGTGAACTTGGCTTATGCGAGGCCTTGAGCAGTGCGAGTTTGGGCAAGCTGTCTTCTGAGCCTCAGTGGGCTGTTCTGGGAAATGGGTGTGAGCATCCCTATCCCAGAAGTGTGGCAAGGATTCCGGAGACTGTCGATTCACAGGGTAAGGGTTCCTTGAATGTTAGAGGCACCTGGGCCAGTTTCCAGGGACTGGGGCCCCAAGAGGGGCTATGAGGACTAATAGGGACCAAGGGAAGATTCTTTTAAAAATACATTTATTTATTATTGATTTCAGAGAGGAAGTTAGAAACATCAGTGACGAGAGTCATTGATTGGCTGCCTACTGCACGCCCCCTAACCAGAGATCCTGAAAACTGGGCATGTGCCCTGACCGGGAACCAAACTGTGACACATTGATTTCAGAGAGGAAGTTAGAAACATCAGTGACGAGAGTCATTGATTGGCTGCCTACTGCACGCCCCCTAACCAGAGATCAAGCCTGAAAACTGGACATGTGCCCTGACCGGGAACCAAACTGTGACCCCCTGGTTCATAGTTTGATACCCAACCACTGAGCCACACTGGCCGGGAATCAAACTGTGACCCCCTGATTCATAGCTGGTTCATAGCTCGATACTCAACCACTGAGCCACACTGGGTGGGAACCAAACTGTGACCCCTGGCTCATAGCTTGAGACCCAACCACTGAGCAACACTGGCCAGGAACCAAACTGTGACCCCCTGGTTCATTGTTCGATACCCAACCACTGAGCCACACTGGCCGGGAGTCAAACTGTGACCCCCTGGTTCATAGCTTGATACTCAACCATTGAGCCACACTGGCCGGGCAAGGGAAGATTCTAGAAGTGCCTGGGGGAGCAAACACTGGGTTTGGGGGCTTCCCAGGGTGTGAGGATGACCTCACCCACCCTCCCCCTGAAACCTTTCCCTTCAGCACCAGGGTCTTGCACCAGAGGGGGCCGAGCAGCAGCCACACGGACACTTCCTGGCCCTTGGAATCGCGTCTGGGTGTTGGATGAGAAGCCCTTTGACCGCAATGACAGGGCAGGCTGTGCGCTGAGCTCCCCTGGGTTGAAAATCATGTGGGTGGGGAAAGGCCTGAAGGACCAGGTATGAGCATTCCCAGGAGGCAGGCGTGTTGTCTTTTTTTTCTAGTTTTCCATGCGGCTCAGGGAGGCTTTGTGATTAAACGGTCATTACACAGAAAGCTTCGGGCCGCGCTGTCCTCCTGGTCAGGTGGGAAGTCCAGGCCGGTGTACCAGGCGCCCCCCACCCCCTCACTTGCTCTGCCCTCAGACCCCACAGTCCTTGCTGCCTCCAGGCCTTTGCTCTCCCCTCCTCCCCCTCCCCCTCCTGGGGCTCCTGCCACCTTCTCCAGGCGCCTGCGGCATTCTCTGGGAACTTGACTTCCTCCGGGGCAGGGTGCTCCCGGCCTCCTCACAGGATTCACACTTGGCACAACTCAAAACCCCGCGGGCTTCCCGGGTGCACAGGGTCCACCATGTCCTTTCGGGGAGGGACCCTGTTTAGCCTGTTAAAGTGACGCCCCAGATCAATATGTAAATAAGGCCAGGAAGCTTAAATGCAGTTGTTCTCAACCTATGGGTTGCGACCCCTTTGAGGTTGGAATAGCCCTTTCACAGGGGTCGCCTAAGATGATTTGAAAACACATATATAATTACATATTGTTTTTGTGATTAATCACTATGCTTTAATTATGTTCAATTTGTAACAATGAAAAGACATCCTGCAGATCAGATATTTACATGACGATTCATAACAGTAGCAACATTACGGTTATGAAGTAGCAACGAACATAATGTTATGGTTGGGGGTCACCACCATATGAGGAGCTGTATTAAAGGGTCGGCGTTAGGAAGGTTGAGAACCGCTGGTCTAGATGGCGATGGCTGGGACTCGGACCTCTGGCCACTCCATGGATTTTAGTTGTGCCCTTGAGTTCACTCAGACGTTACCCTTAACCCGCGACCATGCTAAACTCTCTCAGCCCCGCTCTCAAACTCGGTCACCCCGCAGGCCCGCCACCGCCGCAAAGCCTCTTCGGCCCGGCCCGGGGCTCCGGGGGGAAGGAAGGCGC